GTCTGTCTGCCTTTACAATCTTCTAATACCTTACTCCCTGCCACTTATTCTTCATTCCACTGACACTGACTTCCTATCTGTTCCATGAAGAAGACACTGTGTCCCTTAGTTCCTGGCATGTTCTCTGGATGTCCCCTAGCCTGGAATGCTATCCTTCTGGCTTCCTTGGATTCTTTCAAGTCCCTGATAAAACTCTATTTTGTACAAGAAGCCTCTCCCAACCCCTCTGAATTCTAATTCTTTAATTATTTCAAATGTATCCTGTACACTGATTGTTTGTACATATTTTTTCTTTGTTGTCTCCCCCATTATATTGTGAGTCCCTTGAGGGCAGAGACTATCTTTTGCTTCTTTTTTTGTGTCCTCAGCACTTAGCACAGTGCCTGGGGATAGTAAGTGTTTAATATATGTTTAATATGAATAGGCAATTAATCAACAAAAATTTATTCAGTGCCTGTTATGTGCCAGGCACTGTACTAAGTACTGGGGGTATAAAAAAAAAGCAAAAATCCCTGCCCTACAGGACTCACAATACAATATGAAGGGTAGGGAACGGCATACAAATAACTATGTATGTACAAAAAATATGCAGTGTTAATGGAAGGTTATCTCAAAGGCAATGAACTGAGAAAGATCTCTTCTAGAGTGTGGAATTTGAACTTAGTGTTGAGGGAGGCTAGAGAAGCCATGGGGAAAGAACATTCCTGCCATGGGGTACAGTGAGTGAAAGTGATTGGGAGTTGAAGATGGAGCATTATGTGCAGGACAGCAAAAAGCTCAGAATATAGATTTATCTGGGACATGGAAGGGAGTAAAGTGTAAGAAGAATGAAATAGGTAGGAAGGGTCCAATTTGTGAGGAATTTGCCATGCCAAATTAAGCATTTTATACTTGATCCCTGGGGCAAATTAGGGATCCTCTGGAATTTATGGAGTTAGGACTTGACATGATCAGAGCTGTACTTCAGGAAAATCACTTTGACACATCTGCCTAATAGATGGATTTAGAAATGGGAAGAGACTTGAAATAGAAGATTAACCCATTGGCTATTGCAGTAATCTAGGTGTAAAGTTATTAGGGCCTGCACCAGAAAAAAAAAAACAAAAAACAAAAAAAACCCAACACTGTTCATAATGACACTTTATGTGGCAGAAAAAAAAAAAACTGGAAAAATACACATTGATTGGAGAATGGCTAAACAAATTGGAATGCATAGTGTAATAAAATATTATTGCTCTACATATTAGTATGAATTTGGGGAAGCATGGGAAGACTTGAGCTGATTCAGAGTGAAGAAAGTTATACACAATTACTACAACAAAATAAATGGAAGGAATGCAAAAGAGAAGCAACTTCATTCAGTTATATCAACCATGCTTGTCCCTGGAACAGAATTAAGAAAATGTTATCTCCACATCTTTTATCTTTATAAAGATTAGGAGACTATGATTGTAGAACATTCTATAAAATGTCTGGCTTAATCACTTAGGTCAAAGGATTCAATCAAGAGGATCAAAAAAATTGAGTTGGAAGGGACCTCAGATGCTGTATAGTTAAGTTTCTCATTTTATAGATGAGAAAACTGAGGTCAGATATCAAATGATTTACCTAAGATCACACTGCTATTAAGTAACTGAGGAGGGATTTACAGCCAGGTTCCCTGGCTCCTAAAATGTTTCCCCCCCCCCCCCCCATTTTTATATTCTTTGATACAACAAGGTTCATCTTACTGGGTTAAGGACAAATATGTTTGGAAATGAAGGCAGTATATAAAAAAAGAAAAACAATTTTTAAGATTTACACGTAGGAATTTCTTATTTTGGTAGTAAATGGATAGCTATTGAACTGCTCTGGTGTCCAGGGAAGAGGAGGTGTGTTAAAATAAGTATTTTAATAAGATTAACTTATCAGTTGTATTGCAGGATAGGTTTTGAGGGAATAAGCTGTTAACAGTGAGATCAGAGAGAAGTTTATTGCTGAGATCTGAGGAAACCTGTAGTCGGCTTGGGATAGAGAATTGGAAAGGAAGAAGTTAGACAAGTTCTGAGAAGAAAGGATGGACAGATGAAAATTTGAGGGCATAGTAGAGGGACATACTTTCATTCTTTTATTCATCAGCCACATATCAGGTGCTTTTGATAGGCAAAGCAGTATTTCAGGTGCAAAGTGAGGGTGAAGTAAAGAGATAAAAATAATTAAAAGTGTCCATGCCCTTGTGAAACATTCAGCCTAATGTGGGTGATAGATCTAGAGAGGGTAATTTTAAGAAGAACATAAAGATGGAACAAAAAGTTGAAAAGCTGACAGTTGGTGTGAGCACTCTAATAGCAAATGGGATCTGGGTTAAATTCCCAATTCTGCCACTTTGATGAATGCCATTTTCAGCAAGGTATTTCATTTCTCTATGTCTTACTTTCCTTATTTGTGAAATGAAATTTTAGTACATTAATTTTCTAGTTTTCTGCATCATAAATTTTAAGAGAATAGACTGGTAGCAGCAAGACTAGTTAGATTATTATCATATTCCAATGAATCTTGTACATATGATGGGACTTCAGGTAGTATGTAAAAGAAACTGCAAATTTGCAGACACTGCCATATACTCATTTGTATAAGATTAGTGTTATAGACGTGGAGCTGGAGGAAACCTCAGAAGTCATGTAGTTCAACACCTTCATTTTACAGATGAAGAAACTGAGGTCTAGAGCAGTTAAATTGCTTGCCCAAGGTCACACAGGTAGTAAGTGGCACAGTCAGGAATTGAATTTAGATCTCATTATTCAAAGTTCAGTGCCCTTTTCATTGTACCCTGAAGTCTTCAGATTCTTTTAGATAGCCTGCAGTGGCCTTACTGTTTGTGATTTGTGTGTAGCAATTTAGAGGGCTAGATATGGAGTCAGAAGATATGGATTCAGATCTCAATTCTTCTGCTAAACACTGCTTGTGTGAACTTAAACAAGGTCATTTAGCCTCTATGTTCTTCAACTATAAACTAACTGGGTAGAAATAAATTCTCTGTCAGTCAACAAACATTATTAAGTTAGGCATTGTGCTAAGCACTGGATATACAAATACAAGCAAAACAAATGGTAGTCCTTGCCCTCAAGGAGCTTATATTCTAATGCAAGGGGATAACTCATAAAAGGACATTGAAAAGAGATAGGGAGGAGGCATCCACTCAGGGCAGAGATGGATGGCCTGGGAACTCTGGTTTTAAATGAGTGTTCTGAGGAAAACCATGGAATCAGAGGGAGGGAATGCACGCAAGAATGTTTCAGAGGTCTGGATTCTAGGGTGGAATCTAAATCTAAGATTTAATTCTACATAAATAAGATGTATTTATAATTGTTAATCTCTGGTCCTACTTCCTCACTATCATATCCTTATCTGTAACCTCTTGCAGGATCCTGTTTTCACCCCTAAGGTTAAACTACTTTTTTAAAGGCCATAAATGACATAACAGCAACTGAAAAGGGGTAGAGGATGTTGGAAAGATCTTATGTAGAAAGTGGCACTGGAACTAAGTCTTTCAGGAACATGAGTAGAGGTTCTAAAAAACAGGAGTGAGGAACATGAACATTTCAGGAATCGGGGACACCCTGTGCATAGGCACAGAGATGGGAGATCAGGGAATAGCAGGAAGGCTAGTTTGTCTAGAGTCCAGAGTGTGTGAAGGGGAGTGGTATAAAAATCATCTAGAAAGAGAAGTTGGACACAGATTGTGAAGCTCTGTTCATAGCGTGTATGGAGTTGGAAGGGGGGAGTAAGTGTAAGGAAACCAGACTGGTAAGAAGGGGCATGGGCATGTATGTCCAGGTGGTCAGGAACTTTGGTGATGAAGGGGTTGATTCCCTTGGGCAAATGAGGGTATGCTTTGTGTCTGTGCCCTTACTGTTTATTGAGCGGTTGATTTTGCGGTCCTCTTCAGCAAGGACAACTTTGCCGCAGAATCTAGTTCAGGTATTGGTTTGACTATCATCTCTAAATAGAAGGAGCGAGGGGGTTGCTTCTCTGAGTTTCGGAGTCAGAGCCCTGATTGGTTAGTTTGGAAAAGTTATTTATTTACTTTTCTTTTCTAATCTGCAAGGACAACTCTGCCCTAGTCCCCAGCTTTAATCCAGCATTGTTATCCCTTGGGTGGGAAGAAAGAGATGCCTCTTGGATTTATTTCACACTACTTCTTTTCATGGTTTCTGTGTCCCTGCTAAACTGATCTCTGAGCTGTTTCCCACCTGGCTTCCATCTCCTATTTCTGTATGTTCTAACATGTTGCCCCTGATGACTATCATACTTTCCCTTCTCATCTCTGCTTCTGAAAATTCTTAGTTCAGATACCACCTCTTCCATCGAGTCTTTGCTGATCCTTCCTAATTTTAAGTGCTATACTTGTCCTAAAATTATCTTATATTTGCTTATTATTAAATGTTGCATCTTTCAGTAGAATGTAAGATACCTGAAGACAGAAACTTTTGTTTTTAACATTTTATCCCCATTGTCTAGCATAATCTTTGCATATAGTTGTTTTTCATTTAATTTTGCATCTGTTACCCAGGTTTTAATGACAAGTTCATGTTTACCATATCCATTTTCTGTATGATTTTATAGACTTTAATGTTCTCTTCCTGATTTCTTCATTTTTTTACAGTAAAATATTCCAGTGTTTCTTCTTGTTTGTTTCGTGTTTTTTTCTTTTTTAGTTTTTCTTCACATGATACACTTCCTATCCCTTGGGTCCTTTTAGTTCACCCTCTTGACTTCTTCCTGTTTTATTTTACATTTTTTAGGTATATGGATTAGAGCTACAAACACCTTTACCTAATTTTTGCCCAAGTAATGTTTTTGTTTTGCTTCCAGGGTGGTCTGAGAAATGAGTTCAATTTATATCACCACTGAACCACTATAAGAGTAGTTCAGAGGGAAAAAGAAGTATAAAATTCAGTGTTCATTTGTTATCTACTTTGCTGGCTAGAAATAATTTGAATTAATATTTTATTTTCTAGGGATTCAACTAATGAAACTACTGCTCATTCAGATGCTGGCAGTGAACTTGAAGAAACAGAGGTCAAAGGGAAAAGAAAAAGGGGCCGTCCTGGCCGGCCTCCAGTATGTATTTTATTTCTTTCTCTTGTCCTTGAAATAATTATTTAATAAAGGCTTAGCGTGAGCCAAACATCAATTCTCTTCATCTTAGTATCATATCACAGATTGTTTCAGGGTTGCATTGCCAAGAAAACTTAAGAGATGATTCACCAAAAGTAATGCTGGTGAGGAGTGAATGAAGTATATGTTGCTTGTCCCAAATACTTCGGTAATAGTATAGGAGAATGTGGGGACTAATGTTTACTAGTATGTAACCAGATTTGGTGAGTTAAATAACGTCCAAGACTCTTCATTCCTAAGGTTGATCAGATTTCTAGTTAATTTAATTTGGATTGGTATCATTTTTGTTGTTGTTTTTCATGGTGTTAGATTCCATTGGCAACATCTCCTCAATGTCTGGAACAGTTCTGGTTAACCCTCAGTTTTAGAGTTGATATGCCATGGATCATAAATTTATTAGTCAGAAGATTTAAGGAATTAGTTTTTTGGAAATAAATACATGACAAGATATTATAAGTTAGCCTACAAGTGGATGTGCCTGATAAAACCTAGACTCAATATTGTGACGTCCCACTGTGATATGCTTACATCCTTCAAGATCTTACACTGAAAAATATATTCTTGTGGAATATCTAGCCTTTGTGATCTTTAACCCTATTTAATCTCTCAATAAAGATGAATGTCCTTGCCTACTGATCTGTTGTTTTAGAAACATATACTCTCTTGAGAAGAAGCATCATATAATGAATAGACAGCCAACCTCAAAATCAGGAAAACCTGGATGTAGGTTCTGCCTCTTACACATATTAGATATGTGAACCTAGGCACTTCACTTAACCTCACCTCTTAATCCTGAAAGTTATTCTCTAAGACTGCCAATTACAGAGAACATGCCTTTCTGTTCTATTCTAATAGAAGGAGTTTCTTCATCAGGAGTTTTTTATAACATATTGTTCCCATACTCATCCAGGGCCAGCTTCAAACAAATGAACCTCCTTGGATATGGAACTTAAGAACAGGAACAAAAAGAACCACAGTAACGTTTTGTGAGACCCCTCTCTACTGGTAGAATCTGCAGACAAGCTTAAATTCTTTCTCTCAGTCTCCCTTCTCCTCTATTTTATCTCCCCATCTGTCCCTCTCTCCCTTACTCCTTTTCCTCACCCTTAGACTCCCTCTCCTCCTCCCTCTTTATAATCCACACTATCCCTCTTGCCCCTCTCTTTATTGCTTGCTCTGCTTGTTGTATATAGTGCCTGAGGCTCCAGATGCTTTCTTACACTCCTCTATCTCTTCCTTTTTTCTGTCTGCATTGACAGAACTGCTAGCAGTGACAACATAGGCAAAATGGTCAAGGAGTTTCCATGACCTAATGCTCTTATTTTGTATGTGTTCATTTAAATGAAAACTGGGTTAGGAAAAAGCTTCATTAATTTTATTATTTTCAACACTTAACTTTAACAGAGGTACCTGTAAGTCAGTGCCCTTCACACTGAGGCAGTATGGGTGTGATAGAGGGAAGCGGCAGACACAGTTCTACGCTCCTTTCAACCATTTATTTAGCTGGTTGACCATGAATACATTGTAAATTCTCTTAGTCTTTTTTGGCTCACCTTTTAACAATGGGAAAATTCGTACTTTAGCTGCTTGAAACCAGTGTTTTGGGGTAGATGTTTTCTTGAATTTATTTAAGGTATAACCTCTTATGACACTTGGCTTTTTAAATATGTTCTTCCTATCTGACTTTCCCTTTTTTGACTAATCTTTCTTTTTATTTTCCTTTCTCACCTATTTTTTCTTGTTCTCAGTCCTCCATTTTCCCCTTTCTAAAACGCTTTCTTTCCTTTTTTCCTTTCTTTCCTTTTCTTTCTGTCCTTCCTCCTCTCCCTGAATCTACATTGTATTTGTTTTTCTTTTGTTTTTCTCTGTGCCCTATATCCCTATTCTTTACTTTCTGTTCTCTAATCGGGGTTATATTTTTCATGGGTGTTAGATATACCTTGCTAATTTATCCTGCTTAAATAGAAAAGTATGGAAGATTGAGCTTAGATCTCAATTCATAGAATCTTAGAGTTGGAAAGAACCTCAGAAGGCCACCCTGTTTCTCAAAATAAAGTCTGAGGATCTTAGACCCATTTGTTATTATTTCTATCCTCACTGGCCAAAATGTAACAAATCAACAGCCTGTCAATGTTTCTTTAATATAAATGATGTAGGATACTGGAAAATTACTCCCTGTAGCCTATTTTTCTATTTTCCTTCTTACTGCCAGGCTCAACTTAGGACATCAGTCAGTGTCATTTCTCACTGTAGTGCATTTAGGTAGATTTTGGTGTCCATCTCTTTTCCAGCCTGTCCTCTCCCTGAATCCAAAGACTAAAAATACTGTATCATAGGATTGTTTCCCTCCATTTCGTGGGACCTTGTTCCTTATGGAATAAATTTATTCAAAAAGGAATTATTCTACACATATTGCCTAGTAGTGATTAGAATAGTTCCCTCTAGATGTTCATTTTTTTTTCTCCTTTTATTTAAAAAAAAATCTTAGTGGTCACCAATTTACGACCTTCTTTGCCTATAATTCATATGGAGAGGAAATGATTTCATTATCAGGGGAATTCCCGTTAAAGGAAACTCTCTCTACCAATGCAGGTTGACTTCTTCTTTGCAACAGATAGTCTTAGAGAGTTACCTGGAGCAGTGGTGTGAAACTCCTATAAACCTCATTGATTGGAACCAGATTAAAATATAATTGGGAAATATTTAACAAAACAAATAAAAATATAATACAACATAGCTTATGTTAATTTTTGGTTTTCTAAATCAAAATGCCACTGTAGGGATCCATTTCTATTTGGATTTTATGCCACTTGCCCAAAGCACTGAGACAATAAAAGACTTGCCCATCACACAGCAAAAATATGTCAAGGGTAGGATTTGAGCCCTGGTCTTCTGGTTTTGTAGGAAATCTATCATTTCCATGTTTCTTCCCTTTGTTGCTGCTTCATATGGAGCAAACAGACTTAAAAAGATGGCAAACTTTTTAAAATTTCTCTTAAGCTCAGTTGTTTCTGTCACTACCTTGACCTAGGTTCCTTCTGCTTTTTATTCTAAAAAAAAAATTAAACTGTCATCCAGTGGTAGGGAGAACCTTGTTCTCCTATAGGACTGTGTACTTCTCTCCACTTACGGTATTTTCCCACTAGACGTGCCAACCATATATAGTTTAACATGGGGGGATTTTTCAGTGTGGCTATATGTATTTGGGGAATTTTTTAAAAAGTACATGAAACAGTAAGATGAATAAATGAAGTTTAAAACAATGCACTGTGCTACATTCTTCCATTCGTTATTGCTGCTGAAATGCTATAATTGCTCTTTTTCTTTTTGAGATTCTTTAGTAATTATTGATATTGAATAGCCATGACAGTTGGGGGAAGGAGTAGGAATGGGATGATTAGGGTTTTTCTCAAGTAGTATGTAGCAAATGTGATATAAAGCAGAAGCTTAAGAAGTTCTAACCCATAACCAATTATTTTATGCTTCCTTAATCTCTATTTTGCCATTTGTCCACTTGGCTTAAATAAACAGCCATTCTGCCTGTTTCAAGATGGATATTCCCGAGTTTGGATTGGCTTAACATTTTGTATTGGGAACATGCCATTATTCTTCACCAATGCTAAAAATAGTCCCTTGTTTTTCTTATGTCTTCCTTCTGCTTTGTTGTTTTTGTTTAGTTGTTTTCAGTCATGTCCTCCTCTTCGTGACCTCTTTTTGGCGGTTTCTTGGCAAAGATACTGAAACGGTTTGACAGCTCATGTTGCAGTTGAGGAAATGAAGCAAACAGGGTTAAGTGACTCAACCCAGGGTCACACAGCTATTAAGTGTCTGAGGCTGGATTTGAACTTGGGAAGATGAGTCTTCCTAATTCCACGCCCAATGCTCTTACCCACTGTTACACCTAGTTGCCCTTCTGCCTTAATAGCTGCATTTTTATGGTACTTATACATATCAGAGAGGGGTTGCTTGCTTTTTTACTAAAATCTTAACATTTATATTTCAAGAAGTGTTTTTCTAGTGTATCTGAGTTTTTAAAAGTTTATTAAATCTTTTAGTGAATCAATTCATAAGTATTTATTTATCACTTGGTACTGTATTATCATGAAATTTGGAATACAAAATAAGATTATAATAAAATTTGAGGATGAAGAAAAATTTAAGCCTTGATTTTAGCCCTTGAAGGGGAATGATGGGCTGTGGATAGAGGGTGAATAAGGAGGAGGTGGATATTTCAATATCACAGAGCTAGAATAAACATGGTTCTTGGGAGAGAGCCATAAGGAATAGTCTGGCATTGGTTGAAAGCTGCTAATTAGTAGTAGGGGTGGGAGAAATAAAGGACTTCATTCATTTGTCACTAGTCCAATCTGAGGGCTTTATAAGTTGCATACTCTCTAGACATTCTCCTTAAGAAAACAGTGTTCCTTTATCTACATTTTTTCTGTGGTGAGTCATCATTAATCGGTAGTCTCCAAACTTTATTGATCCTGTACCCCATAAGTTAATGTTTTTGAACATACATTCCCAAAATATGTGTCTCTCTATTTATAAATTAAGCACATTCCATATTGTAGTAATATTACATACATTTTGAAAATAGACACAAAGTATGAAAGAGAGATGAAAATTTTTTTTCAGTTATTTATTAACAATACAAGAAATGTTTTGTGCTCTAGGGAGCAAAGAAAGACTCTGTGACCCTGGATAAGTCCCTTCAACTCTGTATGCCTTATTATCTTCATCCATCAAATGAGGGAATTGTACTAAATGGCTTTTAATTTTCCCTGTAGCTCCAAATATATTATCCTGTGATTAAATATGCTTCATTGATTTAGAAAATTCCATGTTTGTCTTGGGGGAAAAGGTGGATTTATTAGATAATAATTATTTCTACAACACATGCTTAGAGCAAGCTATACTCAGGTTCCTTCTGCCAATAGCTC